AAGATGAGAATCTTCAATTAGCTATATGTGAACTTTCATCTAGACAGCAGATTATTAGATCATTCTTGAATCAATATTCTTTTTCTTTTTTGTAAAGGGACAAAATCTCGCTGTGTTGCCCAGGCTAGGCACAGGCACAATCATAACACATTATAGCCTCAAACACCTGGGCTCAAGCAATTCCCAAGCCTCAGCCTCCTGAGTAGCTAGGATTACCTAGCATGTGCCACTACACCTGGCTTTGAATCTTTTTTTTTTCAGCTCCCTACTACTGCCATTGAAGAACTAATACTCTTTTGGAAAAGTATTCTAAGGATTTAAACTGGGACAAGAAAAATAAGTGACTCTCCAATAAGTGAAGACTCTGATTCTGTTTTTAAATTAAATTTAATAAGAAGATATTCATTTGTATTATAAAAATACTTCTCAAAAAGCTTTCTTGATTTAAGAAAACCCACCAGAATAAAACGATAAGCTCTCATAATTCCTTATGTAAATTCTGACAGTTGTTATATTTTTAAGTGTCAAAATAAGACCTAACTTTCACCTCAGCAGCAATTGTTTAGTCAAAGATAAACTCCTGTTTATATAGCTGAATCCATAGTTATGAGTTAGCAAATAACTTCAAAAATATACTTTAAAAAACTAGAGTAACTACAGGTCTGCACACATTCAAACAAGAAAATAATCTTTCATTATTTCTATTATCTTGCATGTCCTCATTAGTACACTCTGCAAACAAGAAAACTACTGAAAATAAAACTTTAAAGAGAACTCTAAATGACTAATGGGGGTAGGGATCTGAAATATCTTTACATTAGGCAGCAAACCCCAGAGGGTAGGAGGGGACATTATTTGGGGGCAAGCAAACTAAGTAATGTGAATAGATTCTTTTAATCTTTTTAATTTTTTTTAGAGAGAGGATCTTGCTCTGTCATCCAGGCTGGAGTGCAGTGGTATAATCACAGGTCATTGCAGCCTCAAACTCCTGAGCTCAAGTGATCCTCCCACCTGTGAGTAGTTGAAACTACAAGGCACAGGCCACTAAGGCCAGCTCATTTTTTTTTTTTTTTTTTTTTTTTGAAGATGTGGTCTCCCTAAGCTGCACAGGCCAGTCTTGAACTCCTAGGCTCAAATTATCTGCATAAGCCTCCCAAAATGCTAGGATTGTAGGCATGAGCCATCACACCTGGGCAAATACTTTTTTGTGTGTGAAAGAATCTTTACACATTACTGGCAGGGCATGGTGGCTCATGACTATAATCCCAGCACTTTGGCAGCCCAAGGCAGAGGATTGCTTGAGTGCAAGAGTTCAAGACCAGCCTGGGTAACATAGCAAGACCCTGGATCTATTTTTTAAAAAAGTATTCTACATTGTTTATACTCAAATGTCATCTAGGGAAATCATTATCAGTATCTTGGAAATATAGTTTTACATGAAACGAAAAACAACTTACTCCATTTTTATTTCCTTTTTTTTTTTGAGATGGGGTCTCACTTTGCCACCCAGGTTGGAGTGCAGTGGCATGATGTTGGCTTACTGCAACTTCTGCCTCTGAGGCTCAAGCAGTCCTCCCATCCCAACCTCCCAAGTAGCTAGGACCACAGGTGCACCCCACCATATCCAGTAAATTTTTTGTATTTTTAGTAGAGACAAGTGTCTTACCATGTTGCCCAGGCTGGTCTCGAACTCAAGCAATCTGCCCACCTCAGTCTCCCAAAATGCTGGGGTTATAGGCATGAGCCACTGTGCCCAGCCCATTTTGATTGGTTAAAACATTAGAAGTGCCATTCAATACTGTAATTGCAAAATAAGCTACATCCGCCTCCACCCCCACCTCAACTGTTCATTTAAAATCCTTTATATTTAGGCCATGCACGGTGGCTCATGCCTGTAATCTCAGCACTTTGGGAGGCCGAGGTGGGCATATCACTTGAGGTAAGGAGTTCCGGACTAGCCTGGCCAACATGGCAAAACCCTGTCTCTACTAAAAATATAAAACGTAGCCCAACATGGTGTTGCACCCCTGTCATCCCAGACATTGGAGAGGCTGAGGCAGGAGAATTTCTTGAACCCAGCAGGTGGAGGTTTCAGTGAGCCAAGATCTTGCCACTGCACTCCAGCCTGGGGGACAGAACAAGACTCCATCTCAAATAAATAAATAAAATCCTTTACATTTAAGCCATTTGAGATGGTTATCTTTAATATGGTGAACATGATGACATCCCCAACTATATCCCTGGGCTGTTTTCCATTGCTCCTACTTCTCATCATTCATTCTAACCGCAAGGGCAGTTCTTAAGGCTCCTTTCTACCATAGGGCCTTGAAACAAACCATTTACTCTTGAATAATCAATCTTTCCTTTCCTTCTTTTGCTAACTTAGCTCCCAGTCAGCTTTTACCTCTCAGCATAATTGTCACCTCCTCAAGGTAACACTGCATACTCACACACACAACTGGAAAGGCATCGAATATTTATGTGACCATTTTATTCACTGGATTATAAACTCAAGAGGACAATGGTCCCATCTGTTTTTACTCACCACTACATCCCTCAACATCTAGCACACTTATAAGAGATGCTCCATAAATATGGGTCAAATGAATAAGAGTGATCTAAAGATTTAAAGCCAAAGAAAATACATCAAAATGAACATACGTGTTTGCAAACAAGTATATATGTTTGCAATAACATATATTTTATGTATTTCTAAAAACCAAAGGAAGTAAACAAGGCAAGGGAAAAGTTGAATTTTAAAAATTAATTAAATTAATGGAGAGAAAATGATAATAAATTAAAATTCAGTGATAAAATTTCTTGTTAACAATTTTTTCTGTTCCCTAACTTTCTGTTCCCTAACTTAGCTGAAAGTACTCTAAACATTAATATATATCTGACTGTTGAGAATTAAAATGTTATAATTTGAAATAAAAGAATTATCAATTTTCATAGCTTCAAAGCAATCTCTAATCTTTCTAATCTCTACAAGTCTTTTTTTTTTTTTACTATAAATCTAAGGATTTTTTAAAAATTCTGATTATAAATGTATCATTCAGCGTTCTATGTACTATACAATAATATATACAATTTCATCAATTCTAAGATGCATATTTTGACATCTCTGAGATCAATCACTCTAAGAAAGCATAGTATCTAGTTTAATTGGATTTTCTTTCCTTCCTCAATGATGGTATCTTTAGCCTGAATGAAATACCATATAGTATGTATGCTCCTCACCAAATTCATTTACCGCCCCCCCCAAGGGTTAGAAAAACACATCAAATGAATATTACACAAGAAACAACAAAATCAGAGACATTTTTATTACCAACATCATCAGGACTTTGCCATCATCCTAAGTTGCTCCAGCTTGGAAAATTTTAAGTCAAATATCCCTCCCTAACCACACAATACCCTTAAACTCAATCTACCTGTTATAAAACCTTATCAAGGAATCAGATCCATAAGCCTTCCATTTTTCAGTCCTCTGCTATTTTCATTTCCACTCAAAGTTCTTTTCCACCCATTAACCCACTCTCTCTCTCATATCCAAATCTTTAGTTGTCTTGCCCCTCATTCTTCTGTCACATGTGCCCTATCAATTCTACTTTCTGAAAGACATCTATCAGAAACTGTCCCAAACTGAACTCATCGTCATCTCTCTCGATACTTGCTGCTTTTTCTGTGTTTAACATCTCAATGAATGGTATGACAATTCATTCAACTGACCTAGTCCAGAAATCCAGGAGTCACACTTCACTCTACCTTCTCTTTGAAATCCTCACATCAGTCACCAAACCCAGAAGAAAACCAGTCAGGAAAACGGAAGTTCTTGCTAATGTACAGCCTTTAGTTAAAACTTCTCTACACAACTGGACCACTTCCCCATCACAGCCTTATTCCTTGTCTAGACTTCCCAGAGGCCTGACCATACGTTTACCCAAGTTTAAACTACCTAGATCAATCCTTCTCAAATTGTCTGTCATAGGGTTTTGTAAAATACAATAAAATGAATTATTAGGTTGGTACAAAAGTAATTGCAGTTTGGGGCATTACATTAACAAAACTGCAATTACTTTTGCACCAACCTAATACTGGGCAAACAAATCTTTTTTCTAGGCAGCTTATACAAACCACAGAGGCAAATGGTCTTTTATAAAAGGCACATAAAAAATACTAGCACAATTTTATTATTACTTTATTCAAATGACCAAAAAATCAGTCAAATTGCTATGATATTTTCTAAATGCTCACTCTCAATTACTATAGTTATCTAGTTGAGGACCTGGTTAAGTAACAAAGGCACTTAACCAGACCACAGCTGGCCTTCTCACCTCTAATTTGTGTTTTCTTTGTTTCTATTAATTTGCTTATTATAATACTTTACCAAAAAGTACAACCCTGACCTAAGCAACCTCAACTGTTTTATTTTGTCAGAAAATTACTATGTTATTGGCTCACTTTTGTAGTCAGTCAACAGAGCCCAAATCAAGTAACAGTTCTTTCTCTTTGCTTTATAATCCTCGCTCCCTAAGGACCAGCCGATCTACAGTTTCTCTTTAATTCTTTCGTCTCTAATAGAAAACCTGGAAGCCTTTCTCTCTTGTTAAATAATTAGAATCCCCTTCTCTATCAATTCTGCCTTCTTAACACACAGAAAAGCAATAAAATTCCATAATTTAAGACAATTTCAAAATGCCTTTACAATCAACAAAGTTCCATATAGAAACACTTCTCAATGGCTCTAATCCCGAACAGGAAATAAAGTTCAATTAGAATATAATGTCAACACAGCATATACCTGCTATGGAATAAGCCTTCAGATATGAAGATGATACTAAGTAACATTAAGGTCATAGTCACAGATTTACAAACCCAAGATTCATCTGGTAAAGAAAGCAATCTTCCATTAGTCATTTCTAATTTTATTTGAGCACTAATGGAAAGAAAACACTGATCTTAATGAAATCAATGATTAAATAAACAACTGTACTTACGTGTTAGGTGAAAGATGCCATCACAGGCACTAATATGAGATAAAAAAGCATTCCCCAGGCCCTGCCCATTGTGAGCTCCTTTCACAAGGCCAGCAATATCCACTACATTTAGAAAGGCAGGAATTTTGCTGAAAAACAAAAGAAGGCTTTATTATAAAACAGTATTAAGAACTTATCTATTAACCAAATGAATTCCCCAAACTTTTCACATAAATTCTTTCCTTTCTAGAACAATGTCTACAATAATGATTTGATAGATGAATATCCATCACGACCCCCAAAAATTAGAAATGGCCTTTTAATGCTTTAGGACTTTCTTACCTAGGAATATGAGGGAGAAAACTAAAACAGAATAAACGTATTTATTGTGTCTCTGAAATCAAAGATCTTACTAATTTTACTATAAAGTTCTATTGCCACATGCACACACACTCAAAAGCTGTGAAGAATGTTTAGAGTATGCTGGGGTAATCATCATAAAATGAGCCAACTAACTTTGTGCCAGACACTAAAAGTATTTCACATGTATTATCTCACTTCAAAGTTCAAATCAACTAGATGAGTGTTATTTACTAAGCCCACTTTACAGATAAGAAAATTATGCCTTAGAGGAGTTAAGAAATCTATTGTATTCAGGATCACTCAGCCAGTAGTGACAAAACTGGGAATCAAATACAGGCTGTCTGGGTTTGCATTTGATCACCCATATGCTATATAGACAAAAAAATGCATGTAACGTTGAGAACCAGTTATCAGCATAGCAAAGCTATTTGTTGATAACAGCAACCAAATTAAACTATATACAAAATAACCTTTGCTTTGCTTAATAAAGGTACATTTAACACAAATTAGAAACCAAGTTAGGAAAATCAGTCTGACATATAAAAATGGAGATTTTAGTACATGAATAAATAAAAGCTACTTTTAATGTCATATGACAAAGGTATATATAATGTAATTTTGTATCCTTTGTCAATTTTCAAGAGCACTCATTTTTCAGAATGTCAGTTTCACTACCTGATAAAATACAACATAAAAGTTCCACAAGACTCCCCTATTATTGGTATGGAAAATGAGTCCTTTCAAAATATTCTATAAACAAGCATGGCAGATTGAAATTACTTGATTATTGTTACCACCAAATCCACTAAAATCATATAAATGTGATTAGTCTTTTGTTATTGGACATAGTGACTGCCTCCCCAGCATCCACTGCCCCTTCTCTTGTACCTATACTGATTTTCATTTAGCCATTCCTCCCCAATATAGCCCAGAGCTTTGGAGAAGCTTTATCTACCCCTAACTCGAGAAGTGGGATATGTAGCTCAGGCCTTCACTAAGTAGTTTAATCTCATTCCTAGGCAAAGTAAAAAAAAAATTCTAGGACCTTCACCTTGCTCTATTTGCCTCAAAGAACTTAAGAAGCCAGGCATGGTGGCATACATCTGTAGTCTCAAGTATTTGGGAGGCTGAGGCCTGAGGCAGGATGGGTTGAGCCCAGGAGTTCAAGTCCAGCCTGGGCAACATGGGGAGATTCCACCTCTTAAAAAACAAAGAGAAGGCCGGGCGCGGTGGCTCAAGCCTGTAATCCCAGCACTTTGGGAGCCCTAGGCGGGTGGATCATGAGGTCAAGAGATCGAGACCATCCTGGTCAACATGGTGAAACCCCGTCTCTACTAAAAATACAAAAAAATTAGCTGGGCATGGTGGTGTGTGCCTGTAATCCCAGCTACTCAGGAGGCTGAGGCAGGAGAATTGCCTGAACCCAGGCTGGAGTGCAGTGGCGCGATCTCGGCTCACCGCAACCTCCGCCTCCTGGGTTCAGGCAAT